GCGCAAGCGCGACGGTCTCGCGGAGGGTTCGTTCCTGGCCGTTGAAGGTCACTTGCATCTGCGGCGTCGACGTCAGCCTTTCTTTCGCGGTATAATGAGTAAAGAAGGGATGATGTACCGTGAGATCCATCCAATACGCATTCGCGCTCGCCTTGCCCAAATTCGCCAACAACGGCGCCGGCGCGAGCATCTTCTCCGCGCCCTCGACCTGCGGCTCCTTCTCCTTCTCCTTCTCCCCCTTCTCTCCTCCATGAACACCCGATCCACCACCACCATCCCCGACCCCAAAATCATCCACACACGCCAACGGCAACACGAAATCCGCGAGGACCAACCGCGTGTCCGGCGCGGCGGCCTCCCGCAGCCGGAGGAGGATGCGCTGCGCAAAGGCGTCGGGCCAGTCGTGCAGGACGACGCGGAGGAGGAAGACGGCGGCAGTGGTGATAGGCTGGGGGGTGAAGAAGTCGTGCACTGGGAGCGGGCGTTAGCGTGTGTTGCATCGAGTAAAGAAGGAGGATATGTAGGGAAGAAAGCAAGGCAACGCACCCTGAAACCGCACTGCGCCTGAGTCGAGCAGTTCGGGGCACTTGGCGCGCCAGGCCTGCAAAATGTAGCGTAAGAAAGTAAAATCAGTGGTCGTGTTCTCCAATGATATGGAAGAGAAGGAGGGAACGAAACGCACCTTCTCCCCCATCTCGACGACCACTGGCCGGTCTTGTATCACGAAGCGCAGCCCGCCCGTACCTGTGTGCGTGCATCAGCGTGCGCATTGGTATCACCTGGAAGAGTGGACTCGAAACACTCACCATCCCCGCCCTCCACCTCCGCATACGCACTCGCCAGCAACATGCTCGTCGAGCCGATCCCGCCCCCGACGTCCACTACCACCGCACCACGCGGGAGGGACGCCCAGTCGAAGCCTGCGGAAAGAGAAATCAGCACATATTCATTCAAATATCGCGTCGAAAGCAACGGTAAAATATCGCAGAAGCTGGTAGCAGTGGTGACGGTGGAATAGTGGGAATGTGGAAGAAACACGACGTACCATGCAACACCGCCCCCGGCGCCTCCCAGCTCCCTGTCCCCGCCATCGCCTTCCCGAATCGCTCCAGCCGGAACTGATTCGGGTTTAGCTTCATCGCCCCGCCTCCTTTCGTCCCCAATCCCTTCCCGCTCATCGCGCTTCCGTCCCGCACACCGCCCTCGCTGGCGTTCTTCCCGTTCCCGTTCCGAAGCGAGTTCAAGTGGGGCAACGAGGGCAACGAAGGCGATAGCGGGCTGAGCGGCTCCTTGACGTCCTCCGCGGAATGTACACCGCGGATCGCAGTCGTAGCGGACGGCGCACACCCCCACCCCTCGCCCTCCAACCACCCAAAGTACCCCACGCCGCCACACCCGAACGCGTAGTTGAACGGCGCGCGCGTGGGGTCGGCGCCGTCGATGTGGGCGGGCGCGCCGCCGTTGGCACTACCGCCGTTCGCACTTGTATGTACAGAGGAGCCGGAGCCAGTAGGAGAGTTGTCGGACGCGCCCGCGAACCGCGGCGAACTCCAGCCAGCCGGGTACAGCCTCGCTGCGCCGGGGAAGACCGCCTCGGTGAGGTAGGCGCTCGATTTGAAGAGCTCGTCGGTGCTGCGCGTTGCATTAGTTTTGATTCGTTGTTGGTTGAGTGAGAAGGAGGGGAGGGGGAGGGAGAATGGAAGGGAGGCCAGAGAGGAAGGGTGAAGAAAAATAAAAGCAAAAAAGAAAGGAAAAATGCGCCTGGGCGCGTCGGCCGACGCACTTTGACCATCGGCCGAATGACGGAAAAGACCGAAAAAACCACAAAAGAAGGGAGAAAAAATATATGGAGGGGGAAGGACGCGTCAAAGATGCGGAAGATTCAGTCGCTCGACGGCCGAAGGCAAAAGTGAACGCGTCAGGTCCAACTGAGCATCATCAACCCTGTAGATATGTCACAATGAAAGGACGAAGCATCATCCTGAGGACGCATAAAGCACGAGCACGACACGTATCGCAGACGACGCACGACGCACGAGGAACAAGACAGGTGAAATGAAATTCGCTTCAAAGATTGGGAGAAAAAATATCAAATGCACAAAGAAAAACTCCCCGCCGCGAAGTAGAAAGTCGTACTGAAGTAGAAAGGGAAAGGGACTCACCAAAGCCCAATAAACGCGCCCACCGCGCTCGCCTCCGACTCGTATTTGCGTTCCGGGCTAGCAAAGTAAATCAGTACACTTCTCCACTGGCAGACTGAGCGCGGAAAGTAGAGCGAAAGTGCGGCGCATCAAGTCAGGCACCGAGTCGGACAACCGACACGTCGAACGCAGACCGACGAGCCCGGCCCCACCTACACGCGCACGTAAACGCGTCAACCTCGGGCGTCAACGCGTCAAATTCCATCCCGAAATGACCATGAGCAGCATAAATGCCGAATGTGGCAGGAACGCGTGTGCGTAATGGAAGCCTCCCAGGCGCGTGCTAGCCAAGGAAGGAAGGCCGGGCGACTCGGAGCCGAGAACGAAGGAAAGAGGAAAAGTGGAAGTGGGCGGGTGAGGGGTGGGATGCGGGATAAGGAGGGAAGAAAGGGGCACAGAGAGAAAAAGCCCAACGACACGGAGCCCAAAAGGGGGAGCAAAAAAGCCGCGTCAAGAAAATTAACCAAAAACCGCGCGCGGTGCGGAGTGGGGTGTGGACGGGCATAGAGAGAAGAAGAAAAAAAGTCGAGCCAAAGCGCGAGAAAAGGGAACACTCGGCGCAAAGGTCAAGGGCCGAAAAAACCACTGCAGACCCCACCAGCGCCCGTACGCAGCAGTCGCGTGCAGCCATCAAACCCCGCGACCACTCCCCGAAAAAGCAGTAAAAACAGCCTATGAATACTCACTTCCTCGCGGGATGAGAATGGGAAAGAAGAGGAGAAAAAAAAGTCAGGCCAAGCCAGCGTCCAAAAGCCGCGTGAAGAAAAAAAAGCCCGCGCGGTGGGGAGTGGGGTGTGGATGGACATAGAGAGAAGGAGAAGAAAAAAATCGAGCCAAAGGGCGATAAAGGTAACGCCCGGCACAAAGATCAAGGACCAAAAAAAAAAAAACCCTGCACAGACAAAGCGCACGTAGGCGCGCACGTACGCCGTACGCAGCAGTCGCGTGCAGCCATCAGACCCCGCGCGCACGATGGAAAAGCAGGAGAACAGCGCACGGATAAATACTCACTTCCTCAACAGCTCATCCACGCTCTTGCCCGAATCCAGGAGGCTCGAGATGCGGTTGGCGGCAAAGACGTCCGGTGCGAGTTCGCGGAGGAGGTGGTGCGTTGCGAGGAGGCGGAGGATGTGGGCTGCAGAAGGGGTGTTAACGATGGAGATATATGCAAACGGGTGGAAGAAAGACGGCAAGGGAGAGAGGTGGGGACTATGAGGAGCACAAGAAACGCATACGCACCCAGCTTACTCGCGTCCACGCCCGTCCGCCTTGCGATCTCCTTGACATGCACGCCTGTACTTGGACCCTCGCGCAACACCTCCACCACCCCCGCCGCCTCCACCACGCGCAAACACGCCGGCAGGTGGTACCCCATGCTCGCGTCGCACAGCGTGAGGAAGGGCGTCTGCACGACGGACGCGAGCTGCGCGGAGGCGGCGACGATGCGGTTGATGGCGGCGGCCACCGTGGGATGCGATGTGAGCTGTTCCGCCGGGGAGTGGGGCGCGTAGGGGAGGGTGGGTGAGGGAAAGTCGAGGCTGGTGGCAGACGAGATATTGAACGAGGTAGAAGTCGGGGTGGTGGCAGACGAGGAGCCCGGGGACGGCGGTGGACTTGCATACGCGCGCGAAGACGAGTTGGCCTTTCGGTGCCCGGTTTTCGGTATGGCGGACGCGTCCTCCGCGGTGGTCGTCCCAGGCAGACTTGACGCGCCTTGGGCAGCATACACGGCCTGTATATCGTCGATCGCGTCGCCGAGAATCGCGTGTAGCGCGCGCAGGAGGTCGAATGTTGGCGTCGGGCTTGCTGTACTTGTACCCGTTGTACCAGTTGCGCTCGTCGTCGTGCTCGGCGTCGAGACCTCCGTCGTCGTCGTCGTGGGCAGCGGCGGCAGAGGCTTGCTCATCGTCGGCGGCAGCGTCGACGCGGAAGGGAGAACGAAAGGGTAAGAGACAAAGCCAAGCCCGGTGATTTAATTACTTCTCCTCTCGCAAACTTGAAGTCCATTTTGGGATTTTGATGTCGCATTTTGGCGCAGCTGTCAAATGTCCACCTCTGCCTCGATCCACCGACTTCTTGACCTCATCGTGTCAGTATCCCTGCCCGCGGACGCGAGTACCATTTCGTTGGCCGGGGTTCGAGTTGGGTTCGTGGTTGGTGTCAGTAGGCAAGAGCATATTTGCGCCTGTTGCTCGGGAGCTTCAACGACACCGCTTGCCACTTTCGCTCTTACTCAAGAAAGAAATCCATCTCATTCGGCGACGAGGCCGATTGCGACGTTGCCGGTACTAGGGCTCAGTTTGACTTGCTTGGGGTTTTTCTGCTACTCGTTGCGTTTTTTGGACAACGGTCAGCTCAAGTTTCTGGCAGACTCTGACTCCGACCGAGCTGCTGGAAGAAACACGCTGAACTGCATGTCTACTAGCCTATTTTCGGTGGCCATTTGCTACCAAAAAAATTCACCAAAGAAAAACTGCATAATATACATCAGACGGCCCAGGCGTGATTCGAACACGCATTCTCTTGCAACCAAGAGTATGTGCCACAAGCACAATTTTGACAAGTGTGGACCATCCACAACTGGGCCTTATGCATCCTGTATTAAATCTGAATCAACAGAGCATTTTTCATGGCGAGACTCGTTTCCTTTGGACGCCTTTCTTTGTCAAACTAAGCTTAAAGCCGCTGGATGCCTACTGACCTCTGAGTCGGCCCTTGCCAAGTCGCCTTCCCTTCCTATCATTCCCCACGCAGGGCTGGAGGCAAAAAATCAGAAAGGAAAAGTCTCTTCAGGTCGGAGGACCCAGGTGTGATTCGAACACGCATCTCTCGCTCACATACCTCAGTACTGTACTGCGAATTTATTGCGAGTGTGGACCATCCACCACTAGGCCTTCTACACCTCTTGTTGAACCTGAATGAGCTGGGCACTTTTCCAGTCAGAATCAATGTTAGCAAGCCGGCCTTCTCTGCGCATGCCTACTTGAATTGCTGTTGGGTGATTTTCATGGGCATCAAGATTCAAACTACACAACTAGAATTATACCTATCCCCTGAGTCAGGACCCTCTTGCCGGTGTTGTGCGGGCGTGATTGAAGGCAAAACTCAAGGCGAAAAAACGACCCTAACCAAGTGGAATGGCCCAAGCATGATTCGAACACGCATCTCTTGCTCAAATATGTGCCTCGATACGGCGGTATTTGTTGCAAGTGTGGACCATCCACAACCGGGCCTTCTACACCTCTTATTGAGCTTGAATAGATAGGGCATTTTCATGGCCATACTTGTTTCCTCTGGATTGTCTGGTCGACTCGCCTTCTTTGGCATCAAGAATCAAACTAAGCTTAAAGCAGCTAGCCCATCCCGGATGCCTCTAACCTCCGTATGAAGTCACTCTCCCTTCCTATTGTTCCCCACGCAGGGTTGGAGACCAAAAATCAGAAAGAAAAAGTCTCTTCAAGCCACAGTTGCAGGACCCAGGCATGATTCGAACACGCATCTTCGAGTCTTGCTCAAATGTGTGCCTCAATACGGTGGTATTTGTTGCAAGTGTGGACCACCCACCACCGGGCCTTCTACATCTCTTATTGAACCTGCATAAAGTGGGAATTTTTCCAGTTGGAATCAACCTCAGTAAGCCGGCCATTTTTGGTGCCTACTTAAATTGCTGTTGGGTGATTTTCTCGGGTATCAAGATTCAAGCTACGCAACTGAAATTACACCCATGCTGAATGTCTACTAACCTCTGAGTCAGGATCCGCTTTGCCGGTGTTGTGCGGGCGTGGTTGAAGGCAAAATTCAAGGTGAAAAAAAAACGCTCAGACCCACATAATGGCCCAGGCGTGATTCGAACACGCATCTCTTGCTTAAATCTCTGTGAACATCTGGGTTACTGGGAGAGAGGTCCACGGACCAGGTCCATGGACCTGTTGATGTACCTCTCCGTGGACCGCACGTGAACCGTGGGATTGTGGGGGAGAACCGACAAGTGTGGACCTCAGTGTGGACCTGAGCATGGACCTGCCTTGGACCTACCGTGGACCCGAGCATGGCCCTCGGTGTGGACCTGTCATGTCTGTTCGTGTTGACAGCATAAACAGCCTTGGATTTTGATCGCAAGTTTTGCAGGCGCATGAACCTGGTAGGAGGCCTGTTAACTTCCCATCAATGGCATTAGTGGAGAGACGGTAATACAGTACACTTCTGCACTTCTCCAACAAGGGCTTTTGACTCAAGAAAATTTCTGGGGCTTTTTTCCTATTCAGGAAACCGACAAAAAGAATGTGATTGAAGTCAAGGTGAATTGGCGGACCGCGGTCCGATGATGTTGTTTTTGACTTTGGTCCACGCTGGGGTCCATGGTGATTCACATCGCAGTTCTGGGTTTCCCATCACAAATATGGCTGAGGTCCATGCATAAGTCCATCCTCAAATAAATTAGGTAAGAGGTCTACGGTCCATGGTCCATTTAGAGGTCCATGGACCACTTTCCCTATGGATCCGACGCTATGAAATCTCTCATCCTTCATTATTTGTTGCAAGTGTGGACCCCCCACCACCAGGCCTTCTACACCTCTCAATTGAACCTGCATAAACCAGGCACTTTCCTCATCAAAATCAAATGCTGTGGGACAACTTTCTTTGGCAACACGATTCAAGCTACGCAACTGGAATTATACCCATGCTAGATGTCTGCTAACCTCTGAGTTGGGAAACTCTTTGCCGGTGTTCTGCGGGCGTGGTTGAAGGCAAAACTCAAGACGAAAAAAAGTGCAGACCCGCCTAGTGGCTCAGGCGTGATTTGAACACACATCTTGCTCAGCACCGGTACCTATGCTATTTGGTGCAAGCGTGGACCACCCACCACCAGGCCTTCTACACCTCTTATTGAACCTGAATAAACCAGGCATCTTTCCACTCTGAACTTGAATCAAATGCTGTTAGACAACTTTTTTTTTGCATCGAGAATCAAGCTACGCAACTGGCCCATCTGGATGCATAACTTCCGAGTCGGGAATCTACAGGCCCTCTTTCCCTTCCTTTCGATTTGCGTGCAGGGTTGGAGGTAAAATTCGGGCCAAGAAAAAAGCTAGAGGACCCGCGACAAGACCCAGGTGTGATTTGAACACACATTCTCTTGCAAACAGGCAGTCAACATCCAGAAGGTTTGACAAGTGTGGACCATCCACCACCAGGCCTTCTACACCTCTTTTGAACCTAAATAGACTGGGCATTTTCTAGTTGGCATCAAATGTTGTTGAAGAACTCTCTTTGGCATCAAGAGCCAAACTACACAACTTAGCCATGCTAGAGCCTCGGGACCTTAGGGATGCATTTTCATGGCAACTGCATGTGCAGGTTTGGAGGCAAAAATCAGGCAAAAAAAACTAATTAATTGAAGAGGATGGCGGCAGGACCCGGGCGTGATTTGAACACCCATTCACTTGTAAACAAAGTTATCTGCCACAAGCGCAAGTTTGACAAATGTGGACCATCCACTACCGGGCCTTCCTCACCTCAAACTCAACCTCAGCAAGCCGACCAATTTTCCTAATCTCAACAAACTAGTATTCTTGGGCTGCAAGGGCAAACTGTATTTGGTGTCTATAATTCTAGTGATGTCTGCCAGCCTCTGGGACCTGTTAATGTTGGCACTTCATACCGGTCTGTGCACATCATGAGGGAGACTAAGAATAGGGTCACAAGACCTCCTGGGGCCCAGACGTGATTCGAACACACATTCTCAATAAACTGGGTGTTTTCCTGATAATCAAGGGGCTACGTATTGTTTGAGACAAAAATAAAATAGTTTTTTCGAGTTCAACCACACAGGACCCAGGCATGGTTCCAACACCCATCTCCTGCTCGAATTCACAACTTTTGCAAGTGTGGAGACCGACCACCAGGCCTTGTATAATTGCTTGTTGTACCCGAATAAGTAAACCGGATATTTTTCCGAGTGTTGTCAAACTAGATCTGAACACTCAAAATTCAGTCTTATTGGACTAGTTCCTAGGACTTTACTATGTTGTGGCTGCTGCCTGGCCAAAAATCAGGTGCAAAATAAAGACTGTATAGAACCGGAATAAGACCCAGGCGTGATTTGAACACACACCGAGCCCTTTCCCTCAGGTGATAGGAAGTGCCGACCGCCGACCACCAGGCCCTGTTCGCCTTGAATTCAACCTCGCTGAGCGGTGTAGTGACACGCCTCGCGCCTCGCTGGAACCTCGCTGTGTCCGTAAACCAACATCACCGAAATCTCCGAATATGTTCCCCCGCTTACCTCTTGCTTCCTACCACCAACCGCCACAACCAGCCAGTCTGTCCAGAAAAATGAAGTGACTGTGGGTGAAAAACGGCTAACTATAGTCTATATCCCTGGGTCCCATGGAAGGTTTGGAACTCCACACAGCTCACACAATATGCGCAGTTCATGAATTGTTTACATTGGGCAGCCATATTAGGACCTCGGATAGATATGCATGTGTGAGCTTCAATGCAGGGAGTTGACAGTATTTAACTGTTCCTCAAAATGATCTCGACGTTGAAGACAACGTCCTCGGAAGGATTCACTCGGCCTCACAATAAGTACCGAGTTACCTGACCAAAAGAGCAAGATTAGCCGGATGAAAATCAGGAAAATAATATCACGTACCACCTACGTACGCACTCAAGTACTAATCAATAAACGACGGAGGAAGCCAGAGAAATTCCGGTGACACGGGGTTTGCCGGTGGGAAATGCGGGCCCGGCCCAGAGCTGACCTGAGATTTGATTCCATCAACTCTCTTCCTCCTCCGCCATCGACAGCGACATCAACAGCGAACACGAGGCAAGTGAAAATTGCTGTACCCTCCCACTCGCGAGTTCCATCCAGCATCCTCACTTCAATACACGGGTAGATACTCTCAGTCGAGTCTGAGTCGACGGGCAAGCCACCCCGTAGTGATTGAAATAAACATCGTTCTTCTACTGTGTCAAGTTGTAGGGAGGCAACGGTCACGGTAACGGGCCGCCCGTTGCGTTGCCCATTTTCTGGCGGGTCACGGTCACGGTAAGGTCGGTTGCCTTAAAAAATCGTGACATGCGGAAAAACATGTTCAAAAAATTGTCTTGGCCCTGGAAATGATTTAAAATGCCAAGGAACTCACCAGGATGGCTCTGCAAGCACAGAAGTTAGACTCAGGAGCTCATAATTCACGATAATTTATCTCGAAAAAGTTACTCTCGTTGCCTCCTTAGGCAACCGTCACGGCTCACGCTCCTGCCGTTACCTAGAAAATAGGCAACGACCTTGTCACGGTCCTCGAGCCGTTGCCTCCCTACAACTTGGCACAGTATTGCTAGGCTGCCACCGCGATCTCGTCAACTGCCGCAATCAAAGTATCGGACGTGTTCTGGCACTTATGTTGTACACTGAGCCAGGGTTCCGCCCCCTTCTTCAACCGCTGAGCCTTGTAGTAATTTTCAAAGGTCAGACTTCAATTATTGTCGGATGAATCCTCGAAGCTAGCTACAAGGAACACCGTATGCTTGGAGCCAGGATATTACAAAACGTGTCGCTGGAGTAGCCACTGCAATGCCGGGCTTCAATAAGATTACACGACTCTCACATGCTCAAACGACCACCTCTTCTTTTTCGATCAATCCACTACTTGCAAAAGTCACTACGGTCGATTTTCCCTTACCTCCCGTGTGCCAAAATCGTGATCTCACACATCTGTCACACCAAGACTACTCGTCTGTGTCCATTGTTGGTTCGGCCCACCGGTGCAGGTCCATATTTGTGCCTAACCGTCGGGACGGTGCGTGAACAAAGACAATGAAGAAGGGGAGACCAGAACGAAGGATACGCACAAGGTTCCCGTCTGTCTGCACCCCATTTGTCAGA